GAACGTAAGACCTATATCACTTACGTCTATAATGGGCAAGCTTATGGAACGAGTAGTCCTAGCTCGCATTCAGTGGCTTGCCGAGACGAAAGGAATTTTTCACCCAGCACAAACCGGTTTCCGGAAAAACCTGGGGACATACGACAGTCTAGCGCCCATCCACAAAGGTGTCAACGACTACCATCCGCGCCGCAAACAAATGCGAGTCCTTGTGACGGTGGACGTACGAAAGGCTTTCGACACTGTTCCACACGGAGCAGTGATCGACGCGATGAGGAACCAAGGGATATGCGGCAAAGCGCTAAATTATGTGAAATCTTTTTTGCAGAACCGGCGATTCACAATTAAGGCTGGCATAAACGACGAGGAAAGCCAGACAAAACCCAACGGTATAGGCGTCCCGCAAGGAGCGGTATTATCGCCAACGCTATTTAACATCGTAATGGCCCCACTGCTGTGGAAATTACACGATATACCACAGCTGAAGGCAACAATATATGCGGTCGACATCACCGTACGGACAAACACAGGAGGATCCAAGGAACAAAAGCAAACAATACAGAAGGGACTTGACACCATCTGCGACTACCTGAAAAAGGTCGGACTGGCGCCATCCCCAGAAAAAAGGAAATACACAATTTTCGGGAACGATAATCAGAGAATTGACCTAGACCTCGTGTTTGACGGACAACGGATCGACAAGGAAGCAGAAGTCAAGCTTCTTGGTGTGCACTTCGGAAACGGCACGCACGTGGCAAACAATTGGCTAAACACTATCACACGAACGTGGAAACAAGGCTTGCAGCTTATCCGGCCCATATCCCACAGAATGGGTGGTGCGGGAGAGAAAACCGCCAAGACTCTAGTACAGTCAGTCCTCGTATCCAAGATAATGTACGGTGTTCGGTTCTACAAGCTCACGAACCGACACAAGAAAAAGCTTGACTCGTTATACAACGATGCACGGAGAGCCATACTTGGACTGCCAAGATTTGCCAACGTTGAAGCAACTAAGCAGTGCGTACAGCTCACCGATTGGAGACTAGACCTCGAGAAACAAGTCGCCACACACAACGCTCGACTGAAACACACAAAGCACGGCAGAAAGATAGCCAAGCTTCTCAACCCAGAGGGCAAGAATGATGCAGGGGACATCCCACCACCCGCACCCCCATGGGACCTCATCGACCTCACACAGTCCCAGCCAATCCCGCGCAACATGGACGCGCAGAAACACGCTAAACGAAGGGAACACTACGCCCGAAAACACGCAGTGGAAGTTCAAACGTTACTGGCGGACCCGTCCATCACTGTCACGTACACTAACGCGGCGATGAAAATCGCCGGCCCAGAGACTGCTACGACAGCCGCCGCCATCTTCTATTCTACAGACAACCCAATGGGGACATCGATCTCAACCACAATCCAACCACGAGGAACCGATCCTTACTCTCCCGAACTCACCGAAGCCAAGGCAGTGCTTTTCGCGATAGAGAGCCACTTAAAACACCTAGAGGTGACACAAAGACAGCACGACGCAAATCAACTATACATATTTACGGACTCGCAGCACGTAATCCGAGAATGCAAAAGACACGGAGCCACGACGTGCAGAACCATCAAACGCATTTTCCACACGGCTCTGCACCTATTCCGTGTACACGAAACAAAGGTCTGCATCCGATGGATCCCGGGACACACGGCCATCCAAGGCAACGAGGCGGCGCATGACGCGGCCGCGAGGGAGCTAAACAGTCTTCACCCCTCGCGTGTCGACGGAGAATCCGACCCCTCATAGACTAACAGTGAAACTGCCGATACGACATACGACCCGGTTGAAGCTCTGCGAATGCACAAAAAAGAATGGAAGCACCGACTAAAAGAATCCTGGAACCCCGAACCAAATCCCATTCCACCGAACCACTTCAAACGCAAGGAAATGGTGATATTACGACGAATTCGCACTGGTGGCGCAACAACACCATATATGACTCAAAAATTCGAAACCATCAAGAAACGCAAGCTGAACCCTGATTACGAACCCCCCGACCAAAGATGTCAACTATGCAAAGGAGACGGCACACTCCCAAAACTTTACCACCTGATTTGGGAATGTGAGGCCCTCGCCACACACAGAAGCGATGCTTGGGCCCAGCTGGGCCAAGACACTCCTGCCTCCTACGAGGAGTGGATCAGACCGTTTGGCGACTCTGAAAGACGAGTCCGAATCTTACGGACACTGCTCGATTATACGATGTCGAGCAACCTAAGTCAGGACATTTAGGAGGGGGGCTTTTTAAGGGGAAGGTCCCGAGAAAGAAGTCACGCGCAAGTGCGACCACTTCTCTTTTTTTTTCATTAAACGTTTTACACACACACACACGTTATGCCCGTCGTTTGCGTCCCCCCAGCAAAACGAATACGATAATCTACAAAGCCGCGATCACAAGCCAAAATTTACGGTAACCGTACATATTAATTCAAACAATTTACGTTAAGATGGTTCGAAAGCCGAGAAAAAAAATCTGTAGGCTAACGCAGAATTCGAACGTCTGAGGGCTTCTGCGGTGCCAGGTTTTTTACGTAACAGCTGTGTCTGGTCGCGGACGTTCGATGCGCCCGGTGCGAATCTCGACGGAGCGATATGACAAGAACGTAACTGGAGACGTTTGTCGCTACGCGAACGCCCGATTGCCTCCAGCCAAATAGCATTCCTTTCGGGGCGACATGGCTGCTAGAAGGCTCGCTGTCGGGATCACTCATCTGACATCTCTGAAAAGTCAACATTTGCACGCGCAATCGCAAAAAAAAAAAAAAAAAAAAAACAGAACACGCTAAGCAAGCAAAGAGGAAAACGAAAGAACTGCGCTATGAATTTAAAACCCCGCATCGCTTCCTATCACGTACACCTGCGACAGCTGCTAAACACACACTGCTTCACTTCAAGAAGTCTCACTCAAGCACCTGGGTCAGCACGAAACACTGATCACTTCGGCGAAACGATTAGTCGAGGTAGGCGAGACAGGCGGTAGCGGAGACTTCGGCGGCCATGGAAGAATGGCGAAGCATTTGTTTGTTATGATATGAATCCAAAGGGAAGTGCCCGTCTTGTAAACCTTTCGTAAAGAATAATAACTCTCATCACATGGGTTATTCTTTAAACGTAAAAATATGCCGCTCAAAATGAAATTGCAACATAAAACAAATGTTTAATAACCAAGATCTAAGCTGTCGTTCAAACTCTTAGCCAATGAGAAGTATAGCTGCCGATTGGAATTCAACGTCACTGAATCCCAACTTCGTGGCGCGTGATTTAAAACGGGCAAAATAGCCGGACACTAAAATCAGTCTCACGCAATAAATATAGCCGTAAAATATCTTTTTCTCGCAGAAAATTTTATTTTGACATGCTTGTCCCATATAGGCTGTTTAAAAAAAAAAACTCTTTTCTTTTTCTTTGCAGTTACCCTTTAAGGACTTAATCAGTTCGTCATACGGCTAACACTCTAAATGTGTTTCAACTACGCCCTTAGGATGCTGTTGAACGCGTGAAATGGAATGCTGGCGATCTCAGCAGACTTCTAGGGGGGTATTCAACGATACACTCATTGGCAGGTCTACGCAATCACGAAGGTCACAAATGTGGGGCTTTCTTCCCCGTCAATATTGTACCTAAAGCATATAATACCAAAGGGACCCATTTTGAAAGTTGCATCACAAATTGATGGACATACGTGAAACGTTCTTGCATCACCCGACATCAGGTCACGTGTCGTCGATTTCCCCGCTAAATTTAGCGAGCAAACTAAATTAGTGTATGTTACGGGATATTATTTTTCCGCTGAATTTAGCGGGGAAATAGACGTCGCGTGACATGATGTTCCGTGACATATACACAAATTTAACTTGCCCGCTAAATTTAGTGGAGAAACTGAATATCTGAGTAGGTCCGTGACGTCCCATATTTCAAGACTGCGTGCGTTGCATTATGAAAGTTCACAGACCTATTGATTAGTTCATCTTATCCACTAAATTTAGTGGAGAAACGGAACTTATGCGTAGGTCTGTGACATCTTATAATGTAATAGTGCGCGGGTTTTCCAATAGGACGTCACCGACCACCACTTCACGAATTTTGGAGCAACTAGCCAAAACTATTTTCACGTTAAAAGTCTAATAATGAAGGCTAACGAGCGTGTTGGTTGAGTTGAGCAACACCGAAAGGATAAGACGCAGATGGGACAAGGAACGGTGGAAACTTTCAGCTAGCAACAGTACAATAATGCCACAACGAACTCTTTCGGAATCACACGCCATCGCTAAAAGGGAAAGGGACAAACACATAAAGGCGAGGGGAGAGAAAGGAGACGATGTCTTGTCGACGTACACATTGCGACACTGTTAGCGCGAACACGACACTGTCGCATTTTCGTATTTTACTTCTAAATAGTACTAGCCAGCACGAAATTTTATCGCTTACTTTATATAACTAAATGAGCTCTTTCCGTAGCAATAATAACTTGGATGACATCCCTTTGGTTTCAAAGAGAAAAACTAAAGACTGGCAATCGCTTGTTCGCGCTAACTCTGTCGCGATCTGTACATGAAAGGAAGTGTACGTCGCCCTCGTCCCACCTTGTCCTATTCTTTAGGTGTTGCTAAACAAAATATACCTCCGAGAGAAAATAATTAATACGGACAAATAGTCTTCGACATGGAAGTTCAAAAGACCTCCGTTAAAACTGTAGGTAGCGGGTGTCACTGGAGCACCTCTTTTTACAACCTTTAAAATAAAATTAAGGTTGTTTCGTGGAACAGCACCCTACTTTACAATTAAAAGAGGGAATTACTACGAACAGGTGGTACTAAATATGTGCTGCCTCATGTTTAAGACTCGTGAACAGCCTTTTTGCACCGTTAAGAGTGTAAAAGTTGGAGTTTGTGGGGCCGCCTGGGGCATCATGCATTCCGCTTTGAACATATTGGACCGCGCGTTTCAGCCTCCATCGAGGCTTCGTGATGGCGCCCAACCTGTTCCTGCACGCCGTGGACGATTGGAAGGGACCTGAACAAGTGGGTGGCGAGGAGAGACTCCAGCTTCGAACGGGTGAGTGTCTGGCCGAGGAACCTGCAGATAATTTGTGACATTAAAACGCACGTGGTTTCATTGTGAGCCTTGCCAAGCACTCAACGAACGTTTTTGTTCTGACAAGAACACTGAACTAAAAAAATGTGAATGCTGCATGATACATGTGCGTCACAAACTTCATTTTGCCTGAAACAGAAAATTATGGAAATATTTTTTGCCGCGAGTCTCACTTTGGAGTTAGAATCGATTCCCTATTAAAGGGGCCCTGCAATCATATTTAAGCGTCTACTTTTTTTGCGGTTTCCACATCTCTTGGAGTTCGGGCAAGCCAGCGGGCACGGAGAGAGCAACTAAATATCAGTGCATCATAGTTTAACCGGACGACGCGGAAACCTCCTCCATCGACGAGGGCGATCCGCGGTACCGAAAGCGCGCGAAATGTGGCGTCTTTGGTCCTGGGCTTACTACTGGTCAGAGCCGCTAAAAGCTTCCTTTTAGTCGAAATACAAAATATTAGTGGCGCGAACCGTTTCAATTATTTATAAAAGTAGTTTTTGTTCAGTATTTTAGATCAAAAAAGAAACGAATGCAGTTTATAAAGTACAAAAACAAGAAATGACCCGTCGACATACCCGCCACCAAGCGGTGGAAAAGGCGGCGCATACTAGAAAAGAGTAGTGGGATCAGGAGCCGACAGGGTAAGGCCCCGGATGTACGCGGCGGCGCTGCGGTCGTTTACGAACTGGAGGATCCGACCGGCTCCGAGCGTTCCGAAGGCCTTCAGCGGGAAGCTTCGTCTTGCGTTTTGGCCAGTTCGCGGTACGGCAGCGCGAAGTGGCTCCCATTCTGAACTGATCTTTACCCCGTGTTTGCTGTCGTTTGTGACCAATGAAGTGTCATGCCGAATTAGTGTTTAATCGCGCAGCAAATGCAATGAGAGCCGCTCTGGCTGCCCGGTGTATATAGCCTATCCAGAACACGCTTTAGTGGCGCCCTCTCGCGCCGTCGACACCCAGTACGGCAGCCGTGAGCACTCGCTGAACTCACTATCCCTCCTCTAGTTCACGGCCACTCAAGCAACCAAGGACGTCATGAGGAAGGTTGTTTCCTGCTTGTTTTTGTGACTTTAATTCGCCTATAACTTTTAAAATAAAGCGAAATTCGAGAGAAGAAAAGTTACATTAAGTTACTACGGTCAGTGCGCTCAGGTGAGGTGCAAATTAAAAAGCAGTAAAAAAGTGCTTGCAGGGCCCCTTTAAGCCTATATTTTGAGACATCAACAACTACCTAAATGGAAGCATATTTTGATATCACTGAAAATTGTTCTGAGACGTATATATTGCGTTTCTTTTTTTTTTTTTTAAGCACAAATCGTTTTATGGTTTGTATTTCACTTAAAAATTGTCAAGCCCGAGTGTGACAAAAAGTCATTGCGCACAGTCCGAGGTAACATAAAGAATAAACAGCCAGTGGCGAAATGGTGGCAAGTTTTGGCAAAAGCTGCCGAACTGGCCGAAGAAGAAGACAACCCCTCGTGAGTCTGCAAGCGCCCAAATTACGCCGTTTCGCTGATCACCCGTGTTTTGGTACACATCCTGGGGGTGCCACGACTCAGTTCTTTGAGCTGCAAACGTAGACCTCACTATCTATACCTTTCCTTCGGAACCGTCTTCACTCTCCGCGAAAGGAAACCAGCCACACAAATAGCAGTGCCTCAAGGGAACGGCTAGTGGTGGCCTCAGACGTTGCTGTCAAGAGGAAGTAGAAAATAACAAAACGTTGTTACTGCGCTGATTCGGTGCAAACTACGTCGAAACGCGTAAGCATTTCGAAGCTTTTCTATTAAGGACATATTCCGGTGATTTAACTGATTTTCTCCCGTAACCCGCTGTAGCAGAAAGAGTCCGCCTTGCTTCCTTGCTCGTATCCCAAGCAGCACATAAACGTGAAGAAAACGTCGAAAGAACGTCGAAGACGTCTGTAACGTGATGTCGTAAAACGTCGATGAAACCTTTAGATGTCTGCGAGAAAAGGTGCACAGAGGGTCGAGGGGACCTTCCAAATAACGTTTGTTGCACGTCACATGCACGTCTCAGTGGGCCGTTGCGTCCTCCCTCGACGTTTATGATACGTGTGTTTACGACATCCGGACTGCCAACGACATTCCCAGAACGTCGAGAAACCTTTTCAAATTACGTTCCCTAGCCGCCGTGCGAAAATGTTGTGTCCCCTCCTCCCCCCCCCCCCCCCCCCCCCCAAAAAAAAAAGGGATATTTTCAGTATTATTGCGAAGGCAAGTTGCTATCATGCAACTACGAAGGAAGTAACTAAAGCACGGGTTTGGTAAGAACTGTTTTCAGAGGCGAGATGCAATACGGAGCGCCTCCAAAAGACGTCCCTGGATGTGCCAGCTTCAAAGATATAAAAGAACAAACAAAGTCACGTAAATAAATAACCACGAGACGATGTCACGCAGCGCGGAATGTTCCACCGCTTACCTCGTTCTGCTTCTGTATAATGCGCTGAAGCGCTTGCTTTAGCCGCCCCATCGCACATAGCTGGTGCTCTTGCTGCGCGCACGGGAATGATTTCAAAAGGAGGATCCCGTCCGCTGGGCGTTCTTGATTGGGATCGTCGGAGGCGTCTGAAGGGTCTTGATCGGAGACTGGACTTGACGGGCCGTTATGTGCACAGCCACGTGTTTCCTGGGGGGCGTCATTCATATCCTCACAGGCACCTTGATCCGAGCAGTAGTACGATTCAACGTGTGAAGCGTTATGGCCTTGAAAAAGGTCCTCGAGCCGTGACTGAATGCGACGGCGTTTTTGGCGATCACCGACTTCTTCATGGTGGCGACTTGAACGACTCATGCAATCGCAGCACTTACACTGTATGCAGACTCGAAAAAAAATCACGGCGACATAGCAGCCTGCCTCGTAGACCCGTAGACGTGACGGCCGGTGCTAGTGACTGGCTTTCGGAAAAAGCTGGACCCGGTCCCAGAGCTGTTCTCTCTGGGCCAATTTGAAGAACAGAAAATTCAGTGAAATATTTTGGCAACGACTGAGAAAATACGTGCACCCGGAACTTGGGCTTGTCAATAGGTGACCGGCGTTTGAGCCGGAAGTTTCGTCATCCGGAGCGAGGCACCACGTGACTTCACGCTTCCGGTTCGTCCGGTGCCGGTCGCGGTTCGTCCAGCTGCATCAAGAGCCCTTCTAGGCGTGGTGGCCGTGCTGTATTCGCGGTGAAAATGGCTTACAGCTCCGCGGTACGTTGTTCTAACGCAAGCCATAGAGGGTATAATATGTTCCAGTTCCCGTGTAACAAAGCATGGAAGCAACGATGGGCCGTCGCTGTTAAGCGAGTGAAAGAGCGAGATGACCTGCGACAGGCAAACGTCGGTGACCGTTTATGCGCGGCCAATATTGTTACAGGCCAGTACAACTTGTTCTCTCTTTCTTCGGGTAGGGCCAGCGGGAAATAATGATCTCTAACAGTCTTTTGGCACCCACCAAAAGCGTCTCGATTATTCCACGAAGGGGTGAGCAGTGCTTGTCGTACAAGGCATCTGCGAGAACGCGGGGTGCGATCTCGCGGGCAATCAATTCATGGCACGACGTTTCGTCAATATACAGTGCCATTGCCAGGCCGATTAATCGTTACATCGACAGCTCGGATTAAGATTTTCTGTGATGAGCCGCCGCAGACTGTTCCCGGGAAGCGGCGTGGATGGGTGGCTTGCTATAATATAAATAAACAAAAGGAAAGGTCAGCTTTTTGTAATATAAAGAAACAATAGCAAACGGGCAGCACCTTCATATTGACGGATAATAAAGCAGTAGCACGACCCTGCGTGGCTCATATAAAAATCGGTGCTCGTTTGTGTATGCTTTCTTACTCGACATCATTAAAAAAAAAACGTGCGGGAAGGGGGAAGGGGGGGGGGGGGGCGGAGGATTATTGCAGTTCACGGGGGACAACTTAGTTGAAGTTCCAAAAACGCGTGAGTGTTCAAAAACAAGGATTGTCACGTAGTCAGATGTCGACGAAACTAACTTTCGCACGGAAGTGGCGTTTTAATCGCGCGAGAAAACATACTAGCTGAGTTTGAAACGCCGTCTGACCGACTTTTTTCCCCGTCTTAAACTTTTGATTTCCTAAAGATTTTCTTACCCAGGCTTAGGTGTTCTCACAAAGTGAGAAAAGTATGCCAGACCTCCGACCGGGCATTTCAGCTGGCCGTGTCTTACGGCTAACATTCGCGCCTATTTCAGTCGGTGATGTGATCTAACGTAACCATCAAAAATAAACAGAACCCGAATGAAAAACGCTGGCTCAAAAGGAAAACGAAACAACCAACCTGAGTTTTCATGCGAAGATCCGGAAAGCGCGGTGCGAGTGCAGCTTGCCGCCGGCCGCACTGGCTCTGCGCTTTCGTGGCCGTTCTCGATGCTTCTGCGTACCGATTAGTACTTAACATATCCGCAGAAGTAACTTCAGACGTTCAGAAGTGTGTAAGTCACCCAGCAGCAGAGGAAGGTGGCCCGGATTGATCGGGTTTCAACACCCGCACACGCTTCCGTAGCCGTCATGGGGCTGCGTCGGCTGCTAGCTACGAACCGGAAGTGAAGATTACCCAGAGTGCTTTGAGGCTGCTGCCAAACGCCGGTCACCTATTGTTCGTCGTCACTATCTTCCCCCACGTTTCTCTCGCCCTCTTCTTACCGAGTTTCCCGACGCATCGCATGGGGCTCTATGGAGATGCCACTGGGATCTCCTAAGCCTACCTTTCCCTCTCTCTCTCGCGCCGTGCCGGTAGTTTTTCTTTTCTTTTTTCTTCCTTTTTTTTTTTTTCCGGCACGTAAGTGCGGACAGGACTTCAACGTTTTTTGGACCGTCATCTGGGCCATTGAGGGGTTGGCATTATGAATGTCAATTTCCACAAACCGTTGACAGTCTCTGCCGGATTTCATCATTGCCGGGCTTTTTTTTTTTTTTTTTTAGTCAACTCCAAA